GTTACATCTTAATTTTTCAATATTATTTCCCATAAGATTTTGTATTTCATTCAAAAATTAGATCCAAATACATCTATTCAGTCTAAAGCTGTAATATCCTTCATTATTTCTGATGACTTCACCATTTTCTTATCGTTTTCCAGTCAATATTTGGCATCAATGCTTCTTTTCATAAACATTTCATTAAAATAAAAGGAAATAATTATCTGCTTTCTTGGTGATTATAATTCTTTCAAACCAAGTATTTAGCAATCAAACCCCTTCAACAGCCTGATGTTCTGAATCACTTCATAATGTTATACCTACCATGTTCCTGTATACAAATCATAGTGAAAAATTGTCATCCAATTATTACCTCAGTTTTCTCGAAATTACACTATTCAATCCTGATAAACATTTTAGAATCTTTACTCCTCCTAATGCCTTACCAGCTGTGGATATTGAATGTCAGTTTCAACCCATTAAACACCAAAGCTTTAATACCTTTCCCATTTTAAAAAATCCCATATATTCAATCATCTTTTCTATCTTCCCAGTTCTCTATCAATTGTAACTAACCTTTTTCCATCTGTAGTTATAATTTGTAAAATATGTAATTATAGTTTCTATATAATGTTTTTTAGATTTTATAGAAATTTCTTTGTTATAATTAGTTTTATTTAATTTTAATACAATAAATTATTATAAATTAATTATTTTTCTTATTTTATTCCAAGACCAACAATTTTACTAAAAACCTTTGTAAAACTTTTACTTCTTATTGTTTTATTATGAATATTATTATTTATGAGACCTGGTATGAAGAAGAGAAAACACACAGAAAATGTAAAACTTTTTTCAGTCTGAGGTGCAGGCCTTCACTAGGACGAAACTAGAAGATCGGGGACAAGTTACAAGAGAAAAAGTCTGAAATATGAGTACATGCTAAAAGTAGTTTTACCTTTAGCCCCTTTACTGTGTGCTTTCTCTCTTGAACATACCTCTAACCAACTTCCAATATGACTATTACTATGGACAGTAACATTTCTATGATAAAGAATATTATTTAAAGAATATTAGTTAAATGTCTCCTAAACTGATTAACTGATCCAAAGAGCATTGAAATAAATTTTGTGTTTACCTTATATGTAACAATAAAGTTGTTTTTCAGGATACAAAGCTGTTAAGAGTAAACTTCCCTGACTTTTTCCTATTTAATGAAAGTTTTCCCTGAACAATAATTCGGGGAACACAAATGTTAAAAATGTATAGTTTGTAACTAATTGATTTATTATACATAATTAATGTAATTATTTTTATATTATTTATATTTTTATAAATTATTTATTGTAATAATTAATGTGTGAAATAAAGATAGTGATCAGTAATGATGTGGAGTTTAAATTTATTTATTTATGAGTTTTTAGAAAAAAAAATGATCGGATATAGCGATAATTGAACTCCTAAAACCTTTGTGTATATCTCACTTATCAAGGAAATATTTTATTTCATTCCTTCATTATGTAAGTATCACATTTATAGGATCAATTTCATTCTCACTCTTAGCGTTAAATTCATATTTCTGTTAGTAGATTAATAAGAATAATGAAGAGCAAAAAGTTTTTGCTTGAAAAAAAAAATTCATATATATTTTGCCGACCGGAGAGGGAAGAGTCTGATAGATAGTGCAATGGCCCAAGAATTAATCGTAAATCTTGCAATAACTTTTCCAGTAAATGCACTTCAGGCCTCAGCCGGAGAGATGCCATTACACATTAGAAGATCATTGATAACTAAAAAGTACATTCTCAAAGTCTATTTCGATAATAAACATCCTAAAGAGAGTAGGTAAAGAAATTTAGAAGTGGAAACTTGTTCAGTCCCCAACTATCTGTCATTATTAAGGAATTACAGCCTCAAATACGTTAAGGAAGCTCCTCTAGAATACACATCTCCCATTCCCAAATCTTTAATAGGTGTTCTTCCTCTGTGGTGTGAGTTTCATATAGTATACTGAACAATTCTTCATTGGCAATATAATATTGTATATTCGTTTTCCCTGATTTTAATGATACAATTAACATCTCATCATTAATTTTTAAAATGTTTTAATGGTCTGTAATCAAAAGCTGTGTTTGTTTTAGCAGAATAAAAATACTAAAATGAGCCATAAATCCATTGTAATTTGCATAAAGAATATTAAAATAGATTGAGTTTTGGTGAAATTGGTTGGGTTAACCAAGGATCATGGTACATTTGTTAACCCACCAATGCAATTTCAGGACTGCCTCTCATATGGCATTAAAGTTAAATTTTTAAATAAAAGTTTTATTTTATTTTTAGTGTGATTGATTGTTTCATTACTCATTATTTTTTCATTCACTTATTAAATTAAAAGGAGTATGGAATTATTTTCTTTTATTAATTTGTTTACAATTTAGTCAATTGCTCTGACTGATAATTTGTCGAAAATGCTTTTTCCGCGTTTAATAGCTGGTTTAATGGAATTATACCTCTCCACATAAAAAAGTTTTTAGTGACTTTCATATTTTATTTTATTTTAGTATCAGGGAAGCAGGAGCTCTAGGTCTCAGCCCAGTCTTCTAGGCTATATAGTGCTACTCTCCTATGGCAATTATTTTACAAATTATATAGCTGCTCATTTAATTACATATGAGTTCAGCTCCTGTTACCTCCTACTCTCTCAATACAAAATAAAGATTTTAAACTAAAAATTTGTATGGGAAATAGTATTCATCCAGAGTTGGTAGTTTGATTTTACCTAGGTGACAGCAGTTATTTTTCGATCTAGACATTTCCATTCGAGTACAATATATTAATTATTATATTATATTGCGATATAATTATAATGAAAAAGAAAAGAAAGGACAATATAACTTACAATGAAAATATTAGAAATAAAATGCTCAAATAATTGTTAGACAGATATGAAGCTGGACATGTTGGATATATATTATGGTTACAAATTGGCAATAAAAATAATTATAATCATATAAAAATATAAACTGGCAACAAGGCGTGATGTATTATACAGATTTTTAAAGAAATTAAAAAATTTTCCGAAATGTGATTTCATTCAGTTTATTTTATGTTGATAAAAAATAATACAATCTGAACTACAGAATACATGTAAATTAAAGTTAAACAATTTGAGTAACAAGTACAATTAAATGAACAGTCGTATAATTTCTAAAATGGGGGTTGGCCCGCCGTCAAGCAGACAGGACAACCCTCCTAATGAAACATATTATTAGAAAAGAGAGTATATATTTTGTTTTGTTGTATGAAATAGGTTTGTAAATAAAATTGTCATGAAATTAATTTATTTACACTTAAAATTATTGTTTTTTTGGTGTGTTTTCTGTTCGCATTAACTTTTTTTCATCCTTCATTGAAAGAAGTAAAGTTACAATTTTTTACTTTTCAAAAAGAGAATATAACCTTATTATCAAAGTTACAATTTCATCAACAATTGATCAGATATAACATTCTACATTTTCGACTTAGTTTTAAATCTAATTCAATAAAATGATGAAGAGTACCTTGAATTTCATAGTTCACAGCCTTGAGATCCTTGGATCATGTTTTAATATTTTTTCATGCAATATTGCTGTACACTCTGAATAATGAACCTGGATAGCACTCCAAAAAATAATTAGCTATTTTGTTAGTTTTGTAGCAGAATAAAGAAAGGTTCTTTTAAAAAATCACATCAACTATATTGTTAAAAATATAAACATTTAAAAATTTATTATGATTATCTTACAATGTAGTATAAATAAAATATATTTACACATAGATAAAAATATCAATAAGAATTACAATGACCACTATGATTCTAGAAACTAAAATACTTTACATTTTAACCCTAATTCTCTAACAGAGTAACAGTTATATACATACACAGCATCTAAGTTAAAATTGGTCACAAATGAGAGTAAAGCCATATGATCTAAACATTAAGGATCAACGGGAGGTTTAGTTCCCAATCAAAATAGCCATCGGAAATATAAACAAAAATCAATAACATTTAAAGGAAAAGCTAAAGAGCCATGGCATGCAGTAAAGCTAAAACTTCCTAATTATAACTATTAGTATAAAAGTTCAGTGAAAAAAAAACAAAATTAATTTATTTTTATTTTGGTTCAAAAATATGTACCAAGAACTAATAGGAATAATCACCAAAAAAAACATTCTAGGGTTTATTGGAAACTATCAATGTGGTTTCAGATAATACTGTAAAAGTATTGACCACGTATCTCTCTATTGAAACTTTTATAGAGGATAACGTACAATATACAGAAATATTTCATCAACCTTAAAACATCAATTACGATATAATGGAAGTGATAGTTGAAATAGGCATAAAATTGCAGGTCAGGTTATGAATGATTCCAAAAAATGTAATAAACTGACAAGTAAATGTCCAAGAGAAGATCAAGAAGTATGGCAAAATATGTGAAGTCTGGTCTAATAAATTTGGGCTTAGGAAGGATTCAATAGAGTGAGTTATGTTATCAGCGACATCTAATCTTTAAATTCTCTAGAACATACATATTTTTCATTTATATATGCCAAAATATAATAATTCAGGATATGGCTGCAACGGTATCATAAGCAAAAAAGTTACATTAGTTTTTTTTAATATCTTCCTTATCAATTCAAGAAGGTTGTATGTAAATTTGCTAGGCTTAGCCAATTAGATAAAAAAATATAACAGTTTTTGTGATATGGACTTATAAGTCCTTGTAAAAACATGTATGCTGGCTTCAATTTTATTAGGATTACATTTCTTAAATATTGGGTGCAATAATAATATGCTGAAAAGCTGATCAGAGATGTTACAATAAATAAAAGAACAAAAAAGAAGACAAATTGAGTGCAGAGAGAATCGGAAATGAAATGTAAACAAAAGAAAGAAAAACTTTAGAGATATATGTCTACTTCTGACAAAAAGATAAAAAAAAAAAAAAAAAATACTATTACACCGATTGGTGCTATTTAGGAAGTTCAGCGTTCATTAGTCAAATGTAACTTTTGGCGTATGAGTCCTATTTGGCCACATCATCAATTTATACTATTAATAACATTTTAATGAACACTTAATAGTTACATGTCATTTCTTTTAGCAATAAGAAACTTTCAAAAATGTCTCAGGAAAAATATGGACACCGAGAAAACAAACCAGACCTCCATTGTTTAAAGTAAAATTACAGTTTTATCAAGATAAAAAATCATTAAAGGAGATATAAATACATTTGTATTTTGAAAGTTTCTTTTTATAACATTGCTGTTATACAAAACAAATAAATATTTGTTTGGTAATCCATTAAATTAAATGATTCATCGACCACTTCTAATTCTTGTCATAATATTTATTTTATATTAAAATCTAGGCATATTAAGATCGTAATATCAATTAGATTCCCACCAAATATGGTAGCATTCAATTTAGATCTATAAACTTAGATCAACATTTATTTATTAGATTTAGATCAGCATAATGACAACTATTCATCAATTTATAGCTATTGATTTATTTACAGTTATGTTGATCAATTTATAGTTATGTCGTCTTTTAGTCAACCTTTATGTGTTATTAAATTATGTCAAATTTAAAGTCCAATTTTGACACTGAAATGACTAATTTAAATAAACGAAAATAACTGTCTTTCTCTTATGTTTCTTTCCTCGAATTTAAGGATGCTGAAAAAATAGGTAGCTCTTCCTATCAAAAAGATAAGAAGAAACTTCCATTGAGGAAGAAGGTTAAGAAGAAGTGGGTGGTTGAGATATGCCAGGGATAAATGGAGGGAAGAGTGATACAAGTGCCGGGGGGAATTTACCCGTAGCGAAGAGAGCAGAGGCAATGTCTGCACTAATGTATCCAGGATTTGCAGGCTTAGGGGCTGGAGGGCAGACTAGCTCACTCAAAACTGACCATAGAAGTCCATCAGACTGATCCCGTGGAAACTTCGAGCTAACTGAAGCCTGAAACAAACACTACTGTTTTAAATTTATATATTATAACAGTAACATATCTATTTATTAAAACTGAAGAAATACAATAACTGCATTGTTATATATGTAACGGAACCCCGCTTGATCAACCCCTATTTAACAGGTAGTAAAAAGAAGAAAAAAAATCTTTTTTACCGAGTTGTCTAATTTTGGCATTTATACTATCATCAGAACTAAAGTACTCAAAGTCACTAACATAGAGAAAGAAAGTTATTTTTACAATAGCCTGTTAACAAATAGGAATTAGCAGGGTAACGAATGAGATGAAGATTAACTGGGTAGCAAACAGCAAATGGTGATATGAACTGCAACAATAGGGGTATTCATGCAACCTGTGTAAAATATTGTAAATCTCTTAAATGTGTAAAGTCGAGAAAATTATTTACCAAATGTGTGTTAAATATGGCCGCTAGCACCCTTGATTTTAATGCAGCCTAGGGTCCTGTAAAGTGTTTCGTAATTTCGTAAATGCATCAAGAAGGTTATTGTAAAGTTTTGAGGTGTTTGATTCATTGTATTTTGTATGTGTACAATATCCACAGAAATGGACTGTAAAGACAGCTGGACATTCAATTATGTCAATCAATCAAGTCCTTTGAATCATCTAAATCTTCATTCATGCTTTCTAATAATGCATTTTTAATCAAATAATCCAGCAACTCAGTCTTTTCACTTCGCTTTGGTATTTTAAAAATAAATCAAAATATTAGATCACTTAAGTCACTCACAAACTTTGTTTAAAGTATAGGCATAACCTTAGTATACTAATAACGCTTTAGAACGTTAGCACAGGTTATTTACCATTCATTAAAAATTTGTGCTGACTGCATTTACAACAAGTACATAAATACCCCTACTGTATAACTATTTTTTTTTCAACTTTACAGGAGATACAAAAAAATCTCAATTTATTTAGGAACAACCTCCTTTATAAAATCTATAGCAAATTCAAATTCAAACATATTTTTGACACAATTATTTAAGTAATAAAAACATTTTCCAAAATAAGCAGTGTACAAGATTTTGAATTAGGTTGTGTTACATTTCGGCAACTTCAAGTAGAGAGGGTTAATTTTGTGGCATAACAATATCATAAAAGTTTAGAAAGATTTATCTATGTATGACTTTTTGCAAAAGTTTTCCACACTTCTGCAGTCTCTTCAAATAAATTTAGATGGTTGAAATTTTGTGTGTAAATTGAGTTAGAGTTAGAGAAGTGCCTATTTGGGGTCTCAAGATCTTTCCCCAACACTAGCCATTTTTCTCTGTTAGCCCCTTGAAATTGAGTTTGATGGATGAAAATTATTGCTAATTGACTTGGTGTTACAGAAGTCATTACTCAATCTAAGTTAGTGAACTTTTTTCTCCCACTCTCACAATTTTTTCATTATTATTAAAAGTTCTGTGCACTTCTACAACCCATCCTGATTGAATTAGAGGATTCAGACATGATTTGATTCATACATTCATACATGATTTGAGTTGGTCTCAGTAAAGTACCTCCAGGGGGTTTCACATTTCTCCTTCCACTCCTGCCATTCTCTACTCTAACATCAATTAAGAAAAAAAAAGAAAGTTTAAAATTATACATTCAAAAACAAATTTTATTCATTGATTTTTGGATATGCCTAACAGGAAATAAAAGAAATAGAGTGGAGCCAAATAGACCAAAATGATTTCACTGACACGCCCCTATTCCCAAGAAGAGATAAAATGGAAGGATATCAGAGAAATTAGCAAAAGTGGATCTTCCAATAAACCTGTTAAACATAAAGTAACTAAAAGTACATTACAGAATCAAATGATATAGGGTTGATCAAAGAGAAGAAATAATTATCATAAGTTATGCAATCATTATTTTAAAAAATATCATGAAGTCTCACTATTTAATTTTCTTTTTCTTCAAATGTATCCATTCTCAATACATAATTGTTTTTGTGATTAAATGTTTATAATAACTGAGTTATTACAAATAATTTCTGAAATCACTGATAAGCTTTAAATAATATAATACAGAAAGATATCTGTTCAGTTAAATTAAATATGATTTTACTAAAAGATAAGTATGAATGTATGTAGAAAATTATATAATTCTCTTTTACGTTTACAAAAAAAGTATTTGTAATGAAGTAGAACAAAATAATTTACCTTCATCTTTTCCAAGTAAGTTATATTTCCCTTATACTTCTCACTAAAATTTATGAAGTCTTGATCACCTCTATAAAATTCCGAACACTTTTTCTAAAACAGAAAATAATTCAATACTAAACAGTAATACTACCAACAAAAAAATGTCTATAAACTAATTTAAAAGAAACAGCAAATGTATCTAGCATATTCAATAATTGTGACAAAAAACTTGAATGCTTTATGATCTAAATATTTTTATTGGTTATTATCTAATGATTCATTATTTATTTTTAATCATAAAGAATAAATATAATTACAGAAAAATCTGTGAATAATGTCCATGTTTTATATATATATGCTTCCTCAAATAAAATATTTTTCAATTTTAATTATTATCCAATTTATTTTATAAATTAGGCATTCAAAATTTCAAAAAAACTGAGGGAGTCTTAAAAAAAAGTTCATATAAGTTTCATAAAAAAGTTTGGATATTACATTATGGTTAAACTTCATATTTAAAACTTAACAAATAGCATTAAATATTAATCCTCATCATAGGAGTATTATAATCTATAATGATTCTATATCTAAAAAAATATGTTCATTTAACAGAAGCATAACAATTGATAACCAAGCAGATGTTACCATCTCATTAAGAGCATCCTGTGAAAGAAACTGGTCTTGAATGACACTATAAGTCATTAACATCGGCTTCCCATGGTCATGCGGCTTTGATTCCGGAGGAGGAATTACCCAGAAGCTGGAGAGGCTTGATTCCAAACTCACACTATCCTCTGCATAAGGTGCTAAACATCACACAATATTATAATGAAGTAAACATGCTAACATAATTGATAATAAAATCGAAATTGATAAAAAAAGTTCAAAAAGTTGAAGTTGTACGAAACTGAAAATGCATATTTAAATAAAGTATATGCTTGGGATATTAAAGCAACCCTTTCCTTAAAATCAGCTGCTTTATACCATTGATTTAACAATTTTCTCAAAAATGGCTTTTGATTAAACTAAGAGGTCTTTAATATCATTTAGGTCTATCCCCATCGCTCTGGCTTAACAGTGCTTAAATGCCTAATGCGCAAATTTTCTTTCACTAAAGTACCTTTAATTCGGTTTATTTTAAATAATTAATTCTCATTGCTAGACATTACGAAAAAAGGCTAAATATAACTTTTGAAATAAGAATATGACAATTGAATAAAGAAGAAAAAAGGTTTAATCTTCCGGAATAATAGTCAAAAGGTATATGAATAATATATGGTTAGAAAACAGAAAATTTTAGATAAAACAATATCTAATGTAGAACGTTATAGAAATTAATAGAGTGACGAAAAAATAATAAATAATAATTTCTGAAAACTAATATTATTTAATATAAATCACATGATTCCAAGGAAATTAAATGACATTTCCTAACTAAATCTAAACTTTTAAAATTATTATTAAGTTTGAAAAAAGTATATACAATCCACAAAATTCAGACAATGACATTGTTTTAAACAACTATTTCATTGTAATTGTGTAAAAGAAGAAGTGAAATATAAAAAATATTTCATAGATGTTTAAAACATTTACCGAAGTTTAATAACTCTAGATCTGATATTATATTTAAATAATTAGTTATCTATCGTCCGTTCATTCCAAAAATCATCATGTAACCTTTTAATAAATTAAATTAGTGAATAATTAGATGAATTTTTGCCTTGTGAAATCCCAACAATATTCAACTACAAATGGTTTTACAACTTTTGATCTATCTAATTACGAAAATATCGTAATTCCATTTTAGTAAACTTTACAATGGAAAATAAGAGTTTAATAACTAATAATAGTACAATCCATAATCATTTACAGGTTAAATATACAGACGTACTTTCAAATCTCGCCAGGCATATATAGCTCAAGAGACTGGAGTTTGTGGCCATTGATGTAATAAATAGGGTTTTTGTTATTTTAACTGTCTTAATGATTTGTTAGCTGTAAGTTTTAAGCTTTAGCTCCGTTAAAAATGTAATTAAAAGATTTAGTGATAGCTCAACATTGCCAGAAAATAATTTCTATTCAAAGTAGAGCGGTAAGGCAAAGTTGTGTGATGTGCTCACCAGTTTTTTTTTTCTAATTTCAAATGAATATTTAAAAAAAATCAATTATTGAATGAATGAATTATTGTTATGATTGATGGAAAAGAGATGGATTAAGTAGGAGTGTTAAAACTATTAATTTTTTGTATACTTTATCAATTGGGCCCATTTGGCTATGATTAGTAAATTCCTTTCAATTTCTTCATTAATCAGTTTTAATAATGAATGTTTATAATGCCCCAGTAATGACAAACACTATTAACTAACGGAATTAATATTATGAAAATCTTAACATGAGTCAATAAAACACCATTGTTGATTGAGGGTATTTACAGTAAATTAAGTTCTTCATTGGGATAATCAGAATGAGTGTGGGAGTAAATGATACGGCGGCGACTTCAGAAGGCCCTTACTCACTCTGAGTAGTAGTACCAGATAAGCCAGACAGAGAGTTTAGGCTTATATTTATACACATATACACACACAGATTAATTAAGTGAGGTTATGTTAGCGAATTAGTGTTATATGGAATGATTAGAGGTGATATATATTTTAAAAATAATACACTATAGTCACTTACAACAAATGAAACCTATACAAGGTAAGTATGCAGCATCTGAGCTTCCCTTCATTCTGATTTCATAATCCAGTTGGGCTTCGACATCCCTTAACGTAGGTGTGGGCGGTGCATTCGGATGGGAGTGGTACCTAAAATTGTTACTGTTTTTAAATATCTACTCCGATTTATATTGTAAAAAATATAAATATATGATTTATAACTAGTGATTCTTTATTTAAGATAATTAAAGGAGCAGAACTAAATACAGATCACTGGTTGCTAGTGGCGGACACCAAAAATGTATTACCAGCTACAAGGAGACCTGAAGCATATGACAGATGTGCTTCAGCAGGAAAACAAGAAACAAATATTAATGAAAAGAGAAAGAGTTTCAAGGAATAAATTGGAACTAAAACTGCAATAACTTGTGGCATGATGTTACGGATTGTATTCTACGAGCCACAGCTGAAGTCTGTATCAAAAAGAAGATACTTCTAGTATGAAGAGGACAAAATGGTGGAATGCAGACATAGCCCAAAGAGTGAAAGAAAAGAGGGAAGCCTGGAAGAAATATATAATAAGTAAGAATGATATAAAAGAGACAAGAAATAGATACTGGCAAGATTTTATTATATAATTTTTTGAGCAAACAGCTAAACCGATTTTTAAATTGGATGGCTCAACTTATTTATTTTGTGAGTACTTAAAAATAATTTGAGTTCAAAACACTGATCAATTATGCAATAAAGTGTGTTTAATGTATACTTTAAAATCATTGCCCATGTGGCTATAATTTAAGAAAACGGACAGAAATATGCTTCTTTGTAGAAACACCAGAGTAAAATTTTCATTTGATCATCTAATAATGTATGTATTACTAAAACCTGGCATAAATAACCTATTTTTTTTTGTTTGGACTATACATATATTTTTTTATTTTTATCTTCTAAAATTTTAGTATAATATAGACTTTCGCGATTTTTCTAAAAATTATTTTGTTTCTCAAATATTATACACATAGAACATATCTTTACTAATAATACAGAATATAATTTTAAGTTTAATTCTTATTAAAATAACTCTAAATTAAATACAGCTACAAGGTATAGAAGTAAGAATCTTATCAAACCAATTACTTTCAAAAGTTTCTGTATGTAGAACCATGTCACACCACACTGTTAGTTTCGTTATTTTTCATCTAATGACTTTGAAATTCCTTTGGGAAATTGATAAATTTGTTGTGAGTGATTTAAGAGTGAAAACCCAATTTGCCAAATTTTATAAGTTAGAACCTTTTTAAATCAAGGCCACAATTTGTTCACAATTATTCAATTATTTGCAAGGACCAAATAGTTTTGTTTAATAATGAAAAATTAGGCAAACTCTATTAAAAAACATTTAACATATCACAGTTATTTCGTGTTTCAAAATATTTAAATTAATTTAGTCAAGACAAGACATAAATTTCAGATTAAGTCGACTAATCTTTTAAGAAATTACTATTCTGTATTCGCGACATTTTTTGAGGATATTTTCCCCCTGAATAATTTGTTGCTAACACTGACAAATAGAAACTGAGAATATACATACCGGTGTATTGTTCTCCTTTCATCTGCTTATAAAGTACTCTCAAATATCCTCTTCGAGAAATTGGTTCCCCACACGGATAGAGAGATCGGGGAAGATCGTCTATGGACCAACTATATACATTGAGATTGAAATTAGAAAAATGTAAAGAGATAAAATCGTAACCTATCATCTCTTTGTCGATTTCAAATCCGCATATGACAGTGTTGCTCAATCGGAACTTTACCAGACCCTAAAAGAAATAAATGTCCCAATGAAATTAGTGAGACTGGTTAAGATGACAATGGTGAGCTCAAAGTGTATGGTGCGTGTTGGCGTAGATCTTTATGACTCCTTTCTCACAAATTGTGGTGCTAGGAAGGGAGACGCTTCGGCTTGCCTCCTTTTTAATTTTGCAGTGGAGAAAGTAGTGACCAATTCTGGAATCCAACTCTGATAAACACTGTTTAACAGCACAGTCCAGCTTCTGGGATATGCGGATGATTTTAATATTGCTGCAAGATAGGAACGGGCCTTATGAGAATCATTCCTGGCTCAGGAAGATACTTCTAGGGATCTTGGCCTAGTTGTTAATGAGGCCAAGACAAAATACATGCGGATTGAAGGAGCTGAACCAGAAGTTGAATATTTTGATGGAGGAGAGTACCGTTTTCAGAAGATAAGAAGCTTCAACTATTGGGTTCAAAAATCAACTCCCAAAATGACATTATCCAGGAAGTAAACAGGATTGCAGCAGCTAACCGTTGCTACTTTGGCTTAGCCAAACATTCTAGAAGTAGAATGCTCTCTAACCGTGCCAAGATCAAACTCTATAAGACCCTAGTCCACCCAGTTGTCACTTATGGCTCACAGGCTTGTGCGTTCATGAAGGTGGATGAGTCCAAGGCATCTTATCTTCAAGAGGAGCATTCTTGGACGGATTTTCAGTCCTGTTAGACAGGGAAAATGCCGAACTAATTACTCTTCAACAATGTTGATACAGTCAAGTTCGTGAAGCTCGGCCGACTTCGATAGGCAGGACATGTGCTCAGGATGGCTGCCAATGAGATTCTGAAAACGATCCATACTGAAGGGATCTATGGGAAGCGGGGAGTTGGACGGTGGAAAGTGCAATGGATGGACTCGGTCTTTGTCTTCTTGAAGTCCAAAACTGGATAACTGCAGCAAACGACCAAACAAACTGGTGGAGACTTGTGGTGGAGGCCCAGTCTCGGTGACAGGTTGCCCACTTATGTATGTATGTATGAGAATATATATTTAAAAGATGAAGTAAACAATTTTATTACTAAATAAATCAATCATACTGACCATCCAATGAGGGACAACCTACGAGCTTCAATAGCTCTTGCAATATCTTCCTCAACCAGTGGTGCCAATTCAGCATCATTTAATCTACATCGGCAAGGATAGGCAGCTGTTATACATAGAACTGAAAAAGTCATAAACATTCGTTAAAATGTCAATTATATACCTTAAAGTACTTAGGTTGATTGTGAACCTAAGGGTAACCGCATAGTGGAGCAACAATACTAGCGATGAAAACAAACACATGCATTTAAATAGTACTTCAATAAACACCGCATAGTGGAGCAACGATAATAGTGACTATAAAGGTGACTTCATATGTTTGCGGATATTTTTTATGATTTTTGAGGATATCTCAAACATTATGTGGTTATTCTCAAAGATTGTTCAGTACAATATTAAGGTGCTTTAAAATCTCTACAAAAATGATCCTATACATTTTTTGATAAAATCAATGTTTAGGGAGATATTTATGAGATTATATTTCCACATTAAGCAAAAATTGCTCTAAACCATGAATTTGATATTATTCATAGTAGATGATAGCATTCTGAAGTTTAATTCATTTTTATAACATTTTTGGTAGTTCAAATTATTATTAAAGTTTCTTTTGATGATTCATTGACAAGAAAATTGTATTCGATATCCATTAGTTGGTAATTTCGCAATATTGATATGAAGTTTAGATTGACATTGATTTCATATAATTGATAATATGTGATAGCAGATCTTGAAATAAAAAAAAATAAATAAACCATGGAGAGTTTTCATACAAAAACCTGAAATCTTTATTTTTTTATTATTGAAGTTAATTACTTTTTTATTAAATTAAAAGTAATAAAAAATTAATTAGGCCAGAACCAATTAATTCATAATAAAACAGATAAAATTTATATTAAATAATGCAAGTAAATTTTTTCTTTTAGAAAATCATTTAATGGGGACTTTCCTTATTAAAAACTTCCTTATTTGATGAGCTTTAAGCCTATATTAATTAAGTTGAGGTTTGTTACAGAGTAAATAATGGCCTAAGTCTTATTTTTCTAGTGTTTTGTGCACTGAACAAACAATTCAAACTTTAGAATTGGAAGGAACGTTGATTCTGTACTGTTTGTTATTTTTGGTAAAACATTTTCAGTCTGACCATTCCTCAGGTTTGTCCAGAGAGCCATGGCAATAGCTTTACATGCACAACAAAATAAAAAAAAATAAAAAATACTATAGAAAGAATCACACCATGGGCATTGATATCCCAGTGACCAGCCAGATAACCGACAACTTCGGATGTGGTCAGATGACAATGGAAGTCAATTACGAGGGCTGCATTGGTGGAGATGGACACTAGGAAAGGCTGAATCTTCCCAAGTGAAGAGAATGGTGTAGCTTCAAGCAGTGTGTTCCCATCACTAGAAAGTTATCAAAAATCTCTTTTAATTGAGGTACATCGAAAATAATCCAATAATTCAATTTTAAAACTATAAAAAAACCTGGTGTGCACAACACACAACTTTCACTTACCACTCAACTTTTTAATGGAAATTATTTTCTGGCCATGTTGGGCTATTATAAAATTTTTGAATTGTATTTTTAACGGAGCTAAAGCTAAAAAATTACAGAAAGCTTATAATAAATACCATTAAAATAACAAAAGTTCTATCTATTATAGCATGGTTGATGATGGATTGTACGATCCGTTGATTATGGATTGTGAGACTACTGGTTATTAAACTGTTAATTTCCATTGCAAAGTTGGCTAAAACGGAATTTAGAGATTTTCATTGTCTGTCATAGACAAATCAAAAATTATCATACTAATTGTAAGTGGATTCTGTTGGAATATCGCAAAGGGATCAAAAATTGATCAAATTATTCATGAATTTAATTTTGTAAAAGGTTACATAATGAATGTTCGGATTAAACGGACGATAGATACCTGAATATTTAAGTATAATATCAGATCTAGAGTTATTAAACTACAGTAAATATATTTAAGGTTATAAACGTATCTATGAAATATTTTTATATTTCACTTCTTCTTTCACACAAGTACAATGAAATAGTAGTGGATACTGTTTGTGGAATATCACAAATTATCCACTAATTTAATTTTATAAAAAGTTAAATGAAAATATTTAGGAATAAACGGACGTTGATACCTAATTTTAAAATATAATATCAGATCTAGAATTATTATACTACACTAAATGTATTTAAGGTTATAAACATATGCTTTATACATCCATGAAATGATTTTATATTTTACTTATTCTTTCACACAAGTACAATGAAATAGTTTTTTTAACAATGCCATTGCCTTGATTAGATGGATTTTAAATACTTTCTACAAACGTAAAAATATTTTTTAAAGTTTACATTTAGTTAGTAAATTTCATTTAATTTCCTTAAAAACATTTGATTTACGTTCAATATTATCTAGTTTTCAAAAATTATTATTTATAATTTTTTCGCCATTCTCCATTACCTTCTACAACGTTCTATATTAGATATTGTTTTTTCTAAAATTTCCCGCTTTCCAACGATATATTATAAGTATACCTTCTGACTTGGTATTTCTGGAGATTCATTTTTGACCTGTATAAGCATTTTTATTTTTTTCTCTTTTATTCAATCATCAAATTTTTCAAAAGTTATATTTATCATTTTTTCGTAACTTTTAATCATGAGAGATAGTTGATTATTTAAAATAAACCATATTAAAGGTACTTTAGAGGAAGACGCATATTGGGCATTTAAGCCCTGTAAATTGACATCAACGGGGATAAAACCTAAATGATATTAAATACCACTTAATTATACAATGATACATCGAGTTTAATCAAAATTGTTAGAGCCATTTTTGAGAAAATTGTAAAAATGTGTTTCAGCGTTGATATAAAGTGGCACTTCCGGCTAGCCGATTTTAAGGAAAAAGTTGCTGTCATATCTAAGGCATATATCTATCTTAAATATATAATATCAGTTTCGTAGGACTTTTTGGTTTCGAGCTAGTGTTCACATACAGATAGACCATTTTTTGGGACTTGGTTATTTGGACTCAGGGGACCTCAAAACATTTATTTCCGTTGGAAACTCAGATTCAAAAATTTTCACGATCCCAATAATTACACTTACTATACATTACATATATAGGTAGGTAAGTGAAAGTAAAAAACAAATGATCATGGTAGACCATAATAATCTAAATGAAGGTGAATAAAACTTACATGGCTGAAGATTTACCAGGACCCATACATGACTTGCCATGTCTTGAGTCTCCTGCCTTTTCCCCAGCTTCCTCTGCAACAAAATAGAGGAATCATGTACCACAATTATAAACAACATTTTATGCATTATGTCGCAGTAAAGTAAATGTTTAACTGAAAAAGTATGCTTCTAAAATAAATATAAATGAAATGTTACATCAGTTAAATAATTTATAACCACCAAGAATTTATAAATCTTTCTTAAAATACTTTCATTAATTTTCATTCTGTACTCTTAACAAAGTTTGTCAAATGACTAACATTTTTTTGTCAATTACATTTAGAACAAAATGGCAAGAAAAAATCACTTTACTCCCAAAAGTGTATAATAATGAAGTACTTGCGAGAATTTTTACTTTTATTTGTCAGTAAAAATTAGCTTATAGAAAGAAAAATGTAAAAAGTATTATTGATTTCAAAATTTCCTAAATGATATTTACATGTGTTTGGCTAAGGCATCACCCCATAAACGCTGCAATTTTTTTTTCTAAACTTCAGCAGTACGCTTAGCTTATTTTACAATAAAACAGCAATACATGCTGATAAAGAATGATATTTTCTTCCATGTTCATAGTATAATAGCAAGAATTTTCATAAATGGTTGATGACATATCAAAAATAGGATAAACAATGCATCATAGGGATTAAATTAACAAATAAGAAGTAGTGGTATAAAAATTAATAGATAAAATGAAAGGACTTATTTCCAGCATAAAAATATGTTCTGATGAGTAATCAAGCTTTGTCAATTACCTTCAACATCATCTTCACCTCTCTGTAATTGCTTAAAATACTTGTTCTTGAAATAGTCAAGCTTTTGGCCCTGGTATTTAACCTGAAATGAAAAAAAAAAAAAAAAATTAAAACTAAAAAAAAACTTAAAATTAAATCAATATAGTCGGTCGTTTTACAAAACAAATGACTATTATGGAAAAATAATATTTAGGTGGTTATGTATATAAATTACTTTTTAAAATAGAAACTTACTGATGCCCAACCACATCCAGACTTCTTGTCAGGGTTCACCATTCTTTTGCAGTGGCAAGCCCAAGCACTCGGTGAAGCAAATATTATATCAGTTTCCAAAGATTTAATTTTTCCATCTGACAATAAATCTCCTAGAAATCTCTGGCCCTAAAAAATAAATAAATAAACTGATTTTAAAATTCATTAAATTATTTTCAGTTGTATTTAAGCTATATTAATTACTGGATTTGGTCTATTATAATTAAGTTAGGTGAAAGTGCCTGTCTTTTGAGGAGGTAGATTAGGTTGCTTTATCAACTAAACTATTGAACAAATCACACTAGAAATTGTTCTGGAGATATAAATAAACCATCTGTTCTAAATCTTTTAGCACTAAGTTACATCCTTACACCACATTGTAAAATATAATTTGAAATATTTAGGGAAGTACATACAAAATAATCTTCAATAATATGTTGGTGAAATGAAAACTGATTATGCTAATGGATGGGCAAAGATCCAATAATAAGTCAAATCTTTACTAACAATTTCTATACATATATATATAAATATAATAAACTATACAGAGTGACCTGTAAGTAGAGAGAAATATTTAAAAGGTTGATAGTGGACATCAAGATCTACAAAAAAGTTCATATAAACAATTGCCCAATTTCCAGCAGATATTGAGAAAAAAAAATGCATAGGAAATTTAAGATTTGTGTTTTTTAAGCGAGTCACGGTTTTTTTGTTGAAAAGGAAGCGATAACATAAAAATATTTGATTTAAGACTAAATATTCCTCCATAGTAAACTAGACAAAATTTACTTTAAATGAAAGTAGAACTTGTCCTTGTTAAAAATATTTAAAGAGGACTATTGAGAGGACCAATACAGCTGTTTCGTTAAAAAAAAAGTCATAAATTATTTGTGATTAATTTTTATCATCCTTTAACTGTACTTCATTTACTCCACTTTTACAAAAACTTTCTTGTTCAATAAGCTTTAATTCCATATTAGTTAAGTTGAGGTTTATTAGGAATAATTTTGAGATTCACCTCAACAATCACTCTGGGTTTATCTCAAAGAGTATGAAAGTGATCGATCTCTTGAGTTAGTTAAAAATAACTTTTCAAATAAATAATTTGTTGATAAGAAAGTTCAATATGCAGCTTTAGAACTTATGGGGAGTTCTTTTTTTTTTTTCCATTCTTCCCTACCTCACCTTTTAGGCTATACAGGATTTTCCTGGGCCAGAGGGTGAGGGTGGAGAATTTAAAATCCCCTCCGGCACCGGGACGCGAACTCGTACTTTTTAAATCTTCCCAAATGTGTTAGCTGGTTGCCAGGCTACTCGCAATGCTGTGCACACGCTTTAGTCCATTCGGCCACCCTGCCTCCTTATCCTCAAAGAAGCATTCCTGGCTCTAGAACAAGAAACCAAAATTCTTGGCTTGGTCATCAACGAAGCCAAGACAAAGTATGTAAGAATAGGACCATCAGAGGTAGGGACAGGTTTTTTGAAGTTGGACCATATAGATTTGAAAAGGTGTAAAGTTTCACCAACATATCGTATACCTGGGCTCAGAAATAAACACTCAAAATGACATATCCCAGGAGTTCAACCGAAGAACTGCTGCAGCCAATCAAAGCTATTTTGGGCTAGCAAAATACTTCAAAAGCAGACACCTCTCCAACAAGACCCTGATTCGATCGGCACTTACATATGGGTCAGAGACCTGGGCCTTGACTAGAGCCAGTGAGAACCTCCTTCTGGTGTTTGAACGGATGATATTGAGAAGAATTTTTGGCCCGGTTCGAGATGGAGACACCTGGATAAGGAGGAAGAATCAGGAACTCTCAAGACTGTACAGAGATCCTGATATCAGCAAGTGGATCAAGATTGGGAGACTTCGATGGGCAGGCCACGTCGCAAGGATGAAGGAGGACGAGATCCCTAAGAGGACATTGGCTGAAGAGCTTCATGGCAAGCGAAGAGTGGGTAGGCCAAATGTGAGGTGGGCTGACTCCGTCACAGCGGATGCACGCGATCTCCTCAGCGTTAGGAACTGGAGAGCTGCAGCAACAGATAGAGCCAATTGGCAGAGACTTTTGGAGGTGGCCTAGACCCGTTAACGGGTTGTTGCGCTAACTATGATGATGAAATGTGTTATCTGGTTGCCAGGCAACTTGCAGTGCTGTGCACACACTTTAGCCCATTCGGCCACCCCGCCCCTAACTTATGGGGACACACAGGATTTTTTCAAAAATGTGTGAAATGGGAATGGGTAGTTGGGACAACTAACATCATAACATTCCACAAACTCCCAACTGATCCTTTGGAATTAATATTGGGACCTTAATTACAATACCGCTTTCTATTTCTGCTCATTCAATATATACTTTTCAATACATTCAGGCATTCTCAGAATTGAATCGAAAGACTGGGTCTGAGAACTTGGGACCATCCATTTAGTTGGAGTGACACGTGTGAAATAGTATATCAAGATATATTGTCGGTTCATTGAGAAAAGTTACTTAAATCTATTTTTGATTAGGTTAACTTTCGAATATGTTTTGTTGAATTTGACCTTATGAAGTGCATGAAAATGGAACAAACTCTGTTATTAATCATATATAGGTGCACTAAGCACATAATTTTCTGATTTCACAAAGGGAAAATTAATCAAAGTTCATAATTATTTTAGGTTATCAAATGTCACTTAATGACTTTTTGTAATAAACCAATGACATCTTAATATATCTAGTGAAATATTTAATCAAGCCTTTAGATTTTGCCAAAGGCTTATAGAAATGAACTCTTAAAGTCATAAATATGACAGAAAAATACAATTAAAGATTATATACCATATACTCAATAGACATGTTGGCTTCACCAGGTTGAAGAATATTGGCTGCCAACAGCATCTGGAGAGTAATTGTTCTTCCGATAGCTGCTCCTTTAGCTCTCCTGTCACCTTCACCTTCTTCTGAACACTCCTGCGGTTTAAAAATACACTTTTATATAGTGAGTGAACTAATAGAAATTTAAACATACGACAAAGGAAATTACCTCATCAATGAATTCTTCATCTTCAACATCACCTTCCACTTCTTCTTCACTTCCTCTTTGCATTTTCCAAGAATTTAATATAAATTACAAGAAAAACTATTAGTAAGTATATTATAGTATATAACTGCTACTTCTTATTTAAGATTATCGACTCTCAACCAAAAGTTGCATTATCAATTCGAAGTATTTTCTAAAAGCATATTCACTTAATAAATTGAAAATGTTTACGGCCTACAAATAAACACACCACCGAACGATCACTAACAAATAAACAATACAGAAGGGATGGGCGATAGTCGATAGTACTATCGATATATCGATAGTTTAACAATGACGATAGTCCCAGTGACAACCGATAGTTTGTAGTTTATTATTATAGTTTATGGATGTACGAGATATAGTGATAATATAACAATGTAAAAGTAAAATGTTTGATAATGAAAAACGGTTATTGAATAATGGAAACGATACATTAAGAAAATAAATAGATAGAAGTGTGAAGGCGTGTTTAAAACTATTCTTATCGGTACATAAAATTGAAACAAAATTAAACGAGAAGAAGCCTTTAAGGTAAAAAATCATTCAATCTCAAATTACTTCCTTAGATATTTTTTTACAACCTCATCTTTATTATTTTTTTTATATAAAATAAATATAATTATAAAATCTACAAGGATGCCATAGCAGTTTTATAATATTTTATAGATATACATATACATTATTATGTGATATGGAGGGAGAGAGCTTTGAAATGGAAAGTAAATTTATGTTGAATATAGAACGATGAAGATAGAATTCTACTCTAATTCTATTGTTGAGCACTTTTCCTTATATTTATAAAATGTAATCTACGTTTTTTCCTTGAAGTCAACCTCTCCTTTTAGTATATGAGGGTAAAAAGATGAAAATATTTTTTTTAAACATTTTATAATATCTTAAATGAATTGTGAAGGTAGAGATTAAAAAGAATTAGTGATCGGTTAAAATTTTCAACGTTTTTGTAATGGAAATTTCAATTATTTTTCCTTGATTATATTTCGGCGCGATAAATTTCGAGTCAGCAATAGGCAAAATAGTATATACCATAAAATGTCTTGCATGATGTTTATATATTTCAAAGAAATGAGTGCTAACGAAAGGTTTATTTTTATTTATCACGCATATAAATGTTGCAGTTTACGGGGGTCATAGACATTTAAATTCACATTCCAAATAAAATTTTGTACCGTAATTCATTCGGTACTAGGTAGAATAAAATTATATGATACAAATCAATGTTAAATCATATTATCATTTGTTGTAATGTAATGTCTCTGGTTATATGTAAACAGCCGTTCCGAACTGCCGAGTGTTTTGTAAGATTTATTGAGTTTTCTTTCTTTTTATTGGTGAGGTTAAAGTAGTAATAGACTTGGGATTATTGAAGAAGTCCTATGTGAACTATTCTGCACTAGGCAACTGAGTTCAAATGATACCATCGGTTAGCTTAGCGCTAAATTTAGGAATATGCCCGAACTGTGATAAATATGATAACCTTTCTATGTTTATAACTTCTGCAAGCTCCTAAACTTAGCCTTGAGGTCAATGATGAACATCGGAATTCCATCAATGGATTAGCTTAGCGTTAAGTTTAGTCGCTTGTCACTTTCTTAATGAACTTTAAGGCAAAAGCACCAGAAGTCGACAATGCACTAGTGCCTGACATGATTTACTAAAAAGTTGAATAATAAGATTTCAGGGCATCGTAGACCTCTATTTTAAATATCAGTGCCTTCATTATAATTCCCCTCAATGTTGGTCTATTCTGCTTTAGTCTTAACGGGAAAAGTAATTTAAATAACAGGCGTTAAATCAGGCAGGTTCCTCAGAGTTGATTTAGTGTTCCAGGAACAACCACCTACCAGTAAGGATACTAAGGTACAGTTTTTCTTCTCTTTTAATTACTTTTTATTATTCTCAAATTTTTGTTTCATTCCTTCTAAGACCCTTTATAGATTATGTTTTATCTATTTTGTACTGGTTTTTTTAGAGAATTTAAAAATTTAAGGGGTGTCAACTACTGGAATCTCAAATTAGCTCTTTCTCCAGTACCTGAAGCCCCTGTTACTGGGTCATTACATAATTTCTTCTATTTAACTATTCTATTTTGTTATATAGCTTACCACTGATCACTATTTGCAATGTAGATTATATATTCCAATAGTTGACAGGGGGTGTCAAGTACTGGAACAAGACATGTCAGCTATTGGAACGACATTTGGTTTCTGGGTTTTCTTTCTTATAGCTTATTTTCTATGGTTCCGATATAAAACTATGTTTAGGAGGACAAGGAGAAAGCCCTTTACGATGTTCGTACTAGACCTATTCTATAATAATCATACCTATTCTTTATTTTCCTTCCTATAATGAGCAAGGTATTGGAAAACCTGGTGCTCCTGAGCCTTCGGCCAGTCTTATCAAGATCGAGCCATCCACGGCAATATGGATCCACTAAAGGCAAGGAAACCGCAGATGCCATATTGCGAGTACGTCATGACGTAGAAGAAAGAGCGGAGAGGTTATGCTTATATTATGCTTCTCTTGTTCGACATATCTTCTGCATTTTAAAGCTTGTGGTGGCCGAGTGTTCTCCAGCAACTTCAGAAGTATGAAACTCCCAGTAGCCTGTATGAACTAGTGAGAGCTACCTTCAGGACCGGACATTGTAGAAGGCATCGTCGAAAGGGGCTACCTGCAGGGATCTGTGATGGGTCCTGCTTTGTGGAAGCTAGTTTTTGACGAGTTGCTGGAGAAGCTCGAAGAGGAGCGGTTCCCTGTCACGGCCTATCTTGACGATTTGGCCGCGGTTGCCTCAAACAGCATAGCCGGTCTGAAAGCAGAAGCTGAACGATGCGCCAGTTTGGTAGGAAGATGGTGCGAGAGGAAGAAGTTAAAGATGGCTGCAACAAAGACCCAGGCAATTCTCTTGAGGGCTACGACTGACAGGGCACATTATATTATGTTGACTATAGAAAAAGAAAGGATACCTCCAAGTGAGGTTATCAGCTATCTTGGCATAAAAATTGGTCGAAAGTTCAACGTGACTCCTCACCTGGACTATATGGAAACTAGAGTCACAGTGGCTCTAAATGGACTCAGTCGTATCGGAGGCGCCTTCTGTGGTCTCAGATATCCAGCTGCATTGACTATAAACAAAGGATCAGTTTTGGGTATTCTGAGATATGCGTCCCCAGCCTGAAACCTAAACCTCTCGTAACGACAGAAGAGTAGGCTAGCATCGATTCAGAGATTGGCTTTACTTCGGGTTACTAGAGCCTATAGAACGGTATCCCATGAGGCAGTGCAAGTACTGGCAGGGCGGATACCTCTCCATCTCCTCCTGCGAGAAGTCTATTACCACTTTAAAATGAAAAGAGAAGGTTCGGCCGATCTATCGGAACATCTAAAGATGAGAATTGAATAAGACCCAAGAAGATGGAAAAGAATTATCAGGGAGGGCATAGTTGATCAATGGAACCGGCGATGGATGGCAACTCCGAAGGGAGCTACCATAAGAAAGTACTTCCCCACGATCAAGTCACGATCAGATGCAAGATGGATCCTCCCGGATTATTGGGTGCCTCAACTCCTCACGGGACATGGGGGCTTCCGAGCGAAGCTCGTTAAACACGGAAAGAATATTGATCCGCTATGTCCCAACTGCAACATTCCGGAAACCGTCGAACAAGTGGTCGTCGAATATACTGCCTATGAGGCGCTAAGAGCTAAGCTCCTGAGAGAGACGGGTATGTATATACAATGTAATGAGCAGAGAAAATAGGATGGAATGATGTGGTAGGCCCTACTCATTTTAATCTGGGAAGAAGAGAAGGAAGTTGAAACAAGCTGCAGCTGCTTCGAGGACCGGCTTCAGGTGGAAGAATGGAGAAAAGTGAGATTTGTGAGCTTGTGCACACAAACAAGTCTACACCTCATAAATAATAATGTTAACAAAATTTTAATTAAATAGACCTATACTGCCAGCAGTGGCATACGCATACTGCTGCTACAACCCGTATTTTCTATAAGGCAAGTCAAGTAGAGAAAAAAAAAAGTCTCACATAAAAATGGAATGCCAGGTATAACACTCTCTTATAAAGTGAGAGGAAATTACCCGATTCAGCTTAAAATAGGACCATACACTATCTTATCTCATGAAGTAGACAGTTTAATAGTTATGTGGAATTTAATACGTAGGAAAAATAGGTTTGCTTGTTGCTGAAAATCAGGTCATTGACTTTCTGCAGGCATCTGCTAAAAAATTTAGACCGGAAAAATCTCTTCAAAGATTATCATCCCTTCCAAACGGTTATGCTTCGGACTCCTAAAAATTTTATTTCATCCTGAACTTCTGTAACTGCAAAATTTGAAGATGTGGTATTCAAATGTCCAGTTGCACCTTGAAGAAAAAAGTCCTTTAAAAATCCTAGAGGATGCACGTCGTGTGTTATCCGACGAAAGTGCATTTTATCATAATCCCAAAGGAAACAAAGTTTTATCTGAAAAAAGGAAATAAGAATGTTTACCAAAGAGAAAACGCATACGAAAAGGAGTGCCTGACTGTTTTGTTGTCAGCAAATGTTTCAGATGTATTTTCTCCACCTTCTATTATCTTCAAATATGAAAGGAGTATTTGAATTAGGAATATTTATTATAGATTGTAGATCACTCACCGCGACCCTACCAGAACGACCAAACTCTTCAAAAAATTACTCAAGCTCAATAGATATAGAAAAAAGGTTTGCAATACTCGAACTGAGCAACAAAGTTAATCCGAGAAGAGTTTATGAAATCCTCGGTAGGAGAACTATTGAAAACTCAGAGATCTTTTGCACTGAAACCATTAAATATATTTATGAAGTGAGGAAATAAACCCTGAGTTATTGATGAAACTTTGATTATTAAATATGAAAACTTGTCTCCTCCATTAGACTTCAGATGGACATTTATTCCATTTTAATAGCTAGTTTGCAAGCTGGGAAGTAGTTCTATAAGATAACCCCAAGAAAAATACAATATTATCATAAGTGAAATTGTAACACCTAAAAATACAAAGAAATTGTCTTAAGCATGTCAGCTACTAGTGTATTTACCCTAGTAATAATTTGCTTAGTTGAAGAGGTCGGCTTATTTGTTTTATAATTCACTTCGCATACTACTTGTAGTGTATGTTAGATAAAGCCTTACGTTTTGTTTGAGATTTATTCATATTAAGTAAAACATCACAATTAGTAGATAATATATAACATATAGATCGATATATTTCTAGCTGAAAAATTTGAAAGATTTTTTATAAACAAGCGTTTCCCTGTGAAAGTGATTATGTTTCACGTAATGAAGTTATTGCAAGTTTAATATGCTCTTTACCTCAAACACAAAAATTAAATTTATGCAAGACACCGACTAATGACCTGTTAAGAGCAACCAGATGAGTGTTGTTAAATATAATGGCGACTTTTCAAAAAATATAAATAATATGTAAGGTTACTTGAGCAACCTTTAAACACTTCAACTGTTACTTATCTTTAAATCAGATGTTAATGATTATTTATTAGAAAATACCTTCTTGTATTGTTATATTGGATTAGTGTTAGAATTAACTTGTGTTGTAATAACGTGTAATTAAATTCTTTTACTTTAATTGAATAAATCACGTCTATAAAAGATCTTAGAAATTTAATTACAAGATCTCAACACATAAGAAATGACTCTTCTATACGTTCAAATTGTGAAGAGAAGTGAGGAAGACTTTGTGGTTCATTGTGTTTCAGTCGACAAAAGAAATTGGTTTTTATTACCAGAAGACACCCAGGACTTGAAATTTCATACTTCTCTATCAAGTAAGAAACCTTTATTAAATGCTGTGTATGCTATAAAAAATGTTAATGGTTATAGAACAATAGGGGTTAAGATTGATGATGACATTAAAAAGGAATATTTTGATGAATCATCTTCTACTGGCTGACCAATATACAGGTATTAACTCAACTTTTTTCCTGAAATATTTGAGAAGTGTTGGGACTCAGATCGTTTTCACATGCATTGACAATCCCAGTTACAACGGATTAAACGCAAGATTGAATCAGACCTTAGTGAATCGCCTGCGATGTAAGATAAACAATGGCAATAGAAGAGCCTGTTCTACCTTGGCAGAAGAATGTGTGAACGAATACAATAATACCACCCATAGTTCCACCCACTTTGAACCATCGTATCTATTGTTCGGCCATCAATCTTCTATATCTCCACTTGGAAACACTCCATCCTCTTTAGAAGAAGACCGCAAGATAGCTTTCCGGAATTCAACGAGGAGTTTCAGTATCAATAAGAAACGCGTTGATAGGAATAGAACGGAACATACTTTCAACGTTGGCGATTTAGTCTACGTCGAGAATGGCAATAAATTAAGTCGCAATAAGCTTGATCCAGTTTGGATTGGACCATTCCCAGTCGTCAGACGGATTTCTTCGTTGTTCTATGAAGTAGCCAGCTGAAAGAGGAAGAACGTCTCAAACTTGTTCCACTCCAGCAAAAGCTGCTTCCTTACTTCCCGCCGCCGCCTCAAGAAGCGACCTCCAGGGGGGAGGTTTAAGGTTACTTGAGCAACCTTTAAACACTTCAACTGTTACTTATCTTTAAATCAGATGTTAATGATCATTTATTAGACAATACCTTCTTGTATTCTTATATTGGATTAGTGTTAGAATTAACTTGTGTTGTAATAACGTGTAATTAAATTCTTTTACTTTAATTGAATAAATCACGTCTATAAAAGATCTTAGAAATAATTTCTGAAAACTAATATTATTTAACAGAAATTTCATGTTTCTAATGAAATTTCCTAACTAAATGTAAACTTTTACAATTATTTTTAAGTTTGAAAAAAGTATTTAAAATGTACCGAATCAAGACAATAACATTATTTTAAAAACTATTTCATTCTACTTGTATGAAAGAAAATCTGGTGTGGTGTGCGCATCACACAACTTTCACTTACCACCCTTGTCTTAGCAGAAATAAGTATTTTCAGACGAAGCGAAGTGAAAGTAAACATTATAGACTCTATATTTATTTATATTTCATTGTGGGTATTTTTATTTGTATAAGTACCATCATATATGCAAATTTTAATATCTATATCACTGTAACCTATACAATTAAATATTAAATAATACCAACAATAGCATTTATGAAAACCACATATGTATATTTCCTGACTTCCGATGTGCCAATTAGTTATGCTGTACAAAAAGGAGCTATACTAGGGCGGTGGGTTTTGTTAACTGGAGTAGCTGCTGATAAAGTGGGAGAAGATGTCCAGTACATGGACCCAAATAGCCCTGGAGCCAGGGCCCAAAAATCGACCTGACCGCAGGCGAAGGTTTGATTGTAAATTACGAAATTAGTGGGCGGGGTAGCCGAATGGGCTAAAGCGTGTGCACTGCACCGCCGTTGCCTGGCAACCTGACATATGAATTAAAGATATATAAATAGTCACGAGTTCGCGTCCCGGTGCCGGGGGAGTCTTTTAAATCCCCGCCCACACTCCCTGGCCCGGGATTTAAATAATATTAGGCCAATAATTTGAGGATCGAAACGATAAATCCATTGCGAAAAATGTGAGAAAAGTTTCTATTTTTTTAACTTGTATATATGGGTTTATACATGTAAAAAAACAAAATTGCTGAAGCAGGTCACCAAGGGAAAACTTTTTACAGCCAAAAAAGTCAGCTTTTTCATCTGTAACTCCTAAACAATGCATCAAAGCGAAAAACGGACTCTTTAATAAATTAAAGAACGTTAAGTTTTGCGTCAAACAAGTACATAAACCTTAAAATTTGTTTACGCGGTAATTTATAAAACCACGGTCAACCAACGCTGTTTCTGAGACAAACTGAGACAAATTACTATAAATGGCCTTGTAACTTGGAAATGAGTTCTCTAGGAGGAAAAACCCATAGAATCAAAGTTGTATACCATCAAATTTCGCGTATATTCAGTATCAACTAATTTAATGTAGGTCACTTTCTGCGAACAAAATCGGTAATCTCCCGATAGTTAGAATGGTAATGAAGGTAAACGTGATTTTCAATATTTCAACAGTATGGGTGTCTATTTTGCTGAGTTAGTTTTGTTTAAAGTCTGTTACATACAGTATAAGCCTCTTTTCCACCTCTCAACAGCAAAAGATTTTGGTAAACGATGTGCCGAAACATACCGAATTTTATAAAGGAATAATGAATCCCGATTCGAGATATATAACTGGTCAACAATAAAAATGTCAGTACTCAGTATACGCAAAATTTGATGCTCTACAACTTTGACTCATTTCAGATGCTCTACAGGGAACTCATTTCCAAATTGCAGGGCCTTTTATAGTAATTTGTCTCACTTTTTGACAAATTTGGTAAAACTCACCGTTGGTTGACCGTGGATTTATACCTTACCGCGTAACCAAATTTTAAAGTTTATCTGCTCATTTGACGCAAAATTTAACGTTCTTTGATTTATTAAAGAAAACATTTTTCGCTTTGATGAATTGTTTAGGAGTTATAGGTAAAAACCCCCAAAAATATCGAAAAAATCTGACTTTTTTGGCTGTAAAAAGTTTTCCCTTGGTGGCCCACTTTAGCAATTTTGTTTTTTACATGTCTAAACCCATATATAAAAGTTAAAAAAATAAAAACTTTTCTCACATTTTTCGCAATGGATTCCCGTTTCGATCCTCAAATTACTGGCCTAAATTCTTCAAATCAGCCGCCATGTTTTAAAGAAGCGGCTCTGGAACGGCTGACAAGTTTTTTTTTACTCACAATAACATACACTGTCGTAACTTACAATCAAACTTTCGCCTGCGATCAGGTCGATTTTTGGGCCCTGGCTCCAGGGCTATGACGAAAGCTAGCTCCATACTGACTCTCGACTTCATCCCGGCAGTCTTATCGCAGTATTTTGGTGTCTTAATACCTAAGACTCAGTATTACTCAGTATGGGCTGGTGCGTATACACAAACGCGATAATACATCGCGAATAAAGCTAAATATATAAACAATATACAATTAAATACATTTCTGGGACAATTGTCCCTTGGGCTTTTACAAAAAGAATAATTAAACATTTTATTATATTCAATTTACATTCGGAAGGGGTGAACACTAAGGATGAGAAAAAAATAATGATAATGAAAGAAAAAATAGAAATACTATAAAAGAAATATATATATATATATATATACAGGCGTTAACAAATATAATTAATCTTATCCTCTTGCAGGAGAAGGTCGAGAGGTACTCCTTCTGCTAAAAACTGTACTGCTTCATGAGCAACAGTCCTGTAGGATTTTAGAGCCGTTCTTTGGATTGTCGCCAATCTTCTTTTCAGTAGTAGCGAGAGGTTTGGATCCTAAGCTTGGGACGCGTCCCTCAGGATACCAACACAACTCTATTATAGATAGCCATCTTTGCCGAGTACCTTAGACCCCAGAATGCGCCCCCAATACGACTTAGTGCATTAAGGGTATCACCCTACTTCTGAGGAAATCCAAGTGAGGAGCGGCATTGAATTTTATGCCGAACCTTACTCCAAGATGCATCACTTCCTCACTCGAACTAATCTTTATCCCTCTGAGGTCTCTGGTAGTCATTTAATTCATCCTGGTTGAAACTTTGAGCAGTTAATTACATTCCCTCATTGATTGAGTTGATTACATCACTTTCATCTTCAGCAATGAAGGATGATTAAAGGGGCATTACTCGTTCTCACATAGCTATGGTAGCTGGAGGGCCTATTGTAGTGACTAAATAAGGATAAAACCACATAGTACAATTGCTGTTATAGATTCCATCAATATTTATTAGGTAGAAATAACAGTCAACGAATTGGTTTTAAGTTCTTCCAAAACTCCAAATCTTCAGTATGTCGAACTTCAAACTTTTTCTTTTCTCAATAGTTAACTGTCATAAACACGGTTTTCTTTTCAAGCTTTATATAGAGGTTATAGTTATAGTTATAGAACACATTAGGTTTCCAAATTTTATCCTGTCTACTTAGACTAACAACAAAATATCGAAGATGAAATAGATTAATTGATTAAACTTTAATAGAAGTTAATTTTCTGACACATTTTCATTCGCAGAGTTATACATAATATATTTTCGTAACTTTTTTATATTCATTTTGTATTCACAAGAAGGTTCAAAATCAAAATCCTCTAAAAAGTGCTTGACCAAGATCGTCTTTTGGAGGAATTATCTTGACTATTTCCAGTTCTGGGAAGTTTGAATCAATACTTTTACATTTAGGAATGAAGGGTGCATGGAGTTGTTGGTTTACAAGGCGCAACCAATCTATATCCTGAAACCATCGCGCATCCTTCACTTCCTGAACTCCTTCGCGCATCATTCCTAGACGCTCGTATGGTTCTATTTTAAGTAAGCCAAGCAACAATTCTTCCAGACCAAGAGAAAAATGAGCACAAACTGCATATTTTCCTTTTATAATATTTTCGTAAGTTTTAAAGGTGTCATCTGCCCCAAAAGGCGAGAACCCTGCCACCATCTCGTAAATTAACACACCTAAAGACCACCAATCAATCGACCTGTTGTGACCTTTTTGCTGTATCATTTCTGGAGCCATGTATTCCGTGGTTCCACATAAGGTATAAGATACAGAATCTCTAATTTTCTTAGCAAATGTAAAACCAGTGAGCTTAACGTAGCCATTATCATGGATAAGAATATTCTCGAGCTTAATGTTTCTATGTACAATTCCGACGAAGTGTAAATACTCTAGAGCAAGGACCATTTGAGCTGCATAAAATACTGCTAAAGGCTCATAAATTCTTTTCTGCTTGCATAAATGTCTATAAAGATCACCTCCGACCCTTAGTTTTTGGCACAGGAACAGAAACCCCGTATCTTGGAAAGAACAAAGCATTTTCTGGCAGAAGGGAAAGTTTATTCCTTCTAGGTATCGGCGGGATCGATTTATAAAGATTCTTGCTTTTGAATCCATGATAGTTTTCTTTCTGAGAACTTTGATGGCATAAAAATCTTCATTACACTTCAGCTGAGTGAGATAAACTAGTCCAAAAGTACCCATTCCAATAGGCTTGATAAACTTGAAGTCAAATGGATTGAGTTTCTTTTCTAATGGTGCATCCTTTCTACTATAACTCAGATGGATTAACGTATATCTTCTAAAATATTCCTTTGATTCTGATAAAAACAGTGAATAGTCTGTAACAGGATGATGTATAATTTCGTGTTTCTTTTTAAGTTCAATATTTCGCCTGGTCATTGTAAAAATATCAACGACTTACAAAAAAGAACTAACACCTAATGAGATAATAAATTGAATATCAAACATATGATATTTAAAATAGTTCATTTAGATGTAGATTAGATGATGTAACATTAGATATTTAACTTGTCAACATGAACGATTGTGATAGTGAAAAGAGAGGATACATAACGGACTGGAGTGATTTTTTGGCGAAGGCAAAAATACATTTTGAACAAAATTGGTCTAAGAATGAAGATAGTAAAGTAACCATTTCCGATTTTGAGCCCTTACAGACTATCGGAACTGGCTCTTTTGGTAGAGTATTTCTTGCTAGAGGAAAAAATACTGATACCTATTACGCGATAAAAGTGCTGGAAAAACACCAAATATTGAAAATGAAACAATTGGAACACACCTTGAACGAAAAGAGAATACTCCAGTCAACGGATTTTCCATTCATTGTACATATGGAATGTTTTTTCAAAGATAACGTGTACCTTTATTTTGTGATGCCGTACATCGCTGGCGGTGAGCTATTTTCTCATTTGAGAAAGGCAGGTAAGTTTTCAGAATCAACGGCAGTGTTCTATGCATCCCAAGTTGCGCTTGCACTGGAATTACTTCATTCATTGGACATTGCTTATCGGGACCTCAAACCGGAAAATATAATCTTGGATAAATGGGGATATGTGAAGCTGACTGATCTGGGATTTTGCAAACTCGTTAAGGGAAGGACCTATACCTTGTGTGGAACGCCGGAATACTTGGCCCCTGAAATAATACTTAGCAAAGGTTATGGTTTGGGCGTAGACTGGTGGTCAATGGGTGTCCTCATATATGAGATGTGTGCTGGTTATCCACCTTTTTATTCCAACGAACCTATGAAGATCTACGAGCAAATTGTGATTGGAAAATTCCGGATGATACCAGCTTTTTCGAATGAGCTTAAAGATCTTTTAAGAAATATGCTCCAGAGTGACGTATCGAAGCGTTTTGGAAATCTGAAAAATGGAGTTGAAGATATTAAGGAACATCGTTGGTTCAGACACATTGTGTGGTTAGAGATCTTGAATAAGAAAATCCAAGCGCCATTCATTCCACACTTGAAGAGTCGAGGCGACGCTAGCAACTTTGACTCCTACGATGAAGAGCCACTAAGGACAGCATCTAAGAATAGATTTTCCGAGGAGTTCAAGGATTTTTAATCGATAAATTTGTAAAAGATTACCCACCTTGTACTCTTCCAAATCTGGATCCCCCTTTTTAATTTATATGTTCAACAGCTACTTGTTTTTAGAGAAAGATCTTTATGCTGGATCAAGCGCAATGCTGTATCATGTAATTATTTTTTTTTTATATAAGGACTAAGAATAAATGAAATATAATATTATAGATGATTCATGTATATTAGCATCTTAGTATAATTTGAAAATTCTATTATTTATCTAGTTAATTTCTCAACTTAATTGAAACGTAAAGTTGTGCACTGTACTGCAAGACAGAACATATCTGACTTTTTTTTTTCTGTTGGTATTACAGATCTTGTAGATCTTTTCCCGCCTTAACAAGCCTGCTCCATCTCTGCCTGTCTTGGGCTATTTCTTTCCATTTTTCTGCAGGCAGCTCTGTTGCATCTTTGTTGATTCTATCTGCTTTTTGGTCTTCCACATGGTCTTTTACCTTCTATTGAGGCATTCATTGTCACGTAGAAACTTCCAGATGGATTGCTACACGCTCTGCCCATTTTAACCTTCTTGTCTTCATATCATGGGATATTGATTGATCAGTTTCTGTAAGCAGTTCTTTATTGATCTTTCTTCTTCATATGTTAGTACTCTGATCCCAGATTGCTTCGGTTATCGTGCGGAGGATTTTCGTCTCAAATCTTTCAAGTTTTTTCTATGGTGCTAGTTAGTGTCCAGGTCTCACAGCCATATATTAGAATATTGAGGTTATTTAAGAATTTTAAGGATATTAAGAATATTGAATTGAGGTTATTTAGAAAACTGAAATAGTTTATTAGAATTAGTACATCATGAAAATAAAATCGTTTATTAACTTAAAAAACATTTTTTTGCCTATACAAATGTATTCGCACTTTTCAACTTTTTGTTGACATCAGCACCTTTGGATGTACAAGAAATAATGACAAGGTAGGAATGGGGAAGAACAGCTCTCAGAAGCACCTCTTTCCTTACTTGTTTAATTACTAATATTGTATATGGAAGGAGGATCCAACACCTTTTTGGTCTCCTCTTCATGTTTTGGGGGTATGTCAGCTGTGTCCATGTTCCTTATCTATCAGTTATTATGTCCGTTCAAATTAGTATAAAATCGTTGGTAAAGGTTCGTTATATGTTCGTCAACTGTTGCAAGGTGGATGTCAGTATGTAGAGTTTTGTTAGTCACCAAGACATTTCCGAGCCCTGCCGAACTGAGAAAAATCTGTCAAAGAGAAAAGATTGAAGGATATGATTGTACGTGCATGGCAGTGCAGTCTTAAGTTTAAAGAGATGATCCTGGAGCCAGACTATATCAAACGCCTAATCAGCATCCAAAAATACACTTGTTGCATATAGTTTTAGTTCTAAAGCTCCAGCAATGAAGTCGGTAACTCTGTGTAATTGATGTGTCGTCGAATGGAATGTGCGGAAGCCTAACTCGTTGTAAGGTATTATCTGTCGGCTAATGGTTCTGCAGGGTGAAGGAAATTTAGAATATAAAAATATTTTTATGAGAAATAATATTTTATAATAAAAGTGAACATATGAAACATAAACTTGTATGCATATTGTTTGTATCTCGTAGAATAGAATATATATTTATTCGTTTTGGGGACTGGTCTTATACAAATACAAAGGGAGCGTGTACACCCATTTTGATTATTACGATATAATATTAGCAAATTAATTTCCAACACTGAAATCAAATAATGATAAACACATTGTGATTATTATAATATAACATTAGCAAATTAATTGATTATACTTGAATCAAAATATTCTTTTTATAGATTTTTTAATATTAAATATAGTTTTTTTTTATTTAAACAAAACACATTAATCAGTAATGAATATTACCCGTCAAATAATATAATATAATACAATACAATATAAAAATGTATAATATAATATAACACAACACAACATAATATAATACTACACAACAATATAATATATTATAATTTCACAACCGAGGAGGCCCAGTATCGGTGACGGGATGTAGCGCCATATATGTATGTATGTATAACTTCACAACCACAATAGGATGCCGTATCATACCATTCAACGAAACACAAATAATTACACCAACCATACCATATGACACTACATGGTACTACTATTACAGGACATCACTACTACAACACAAATCTAAATAATTTACAAATAAATAATAGATAAGAGAAATCATTAATAAATTAAAACTATAAGTATCTATTCATTTTGGATAAATGTTCTTAGATTGAGACCATAAATAGTATAATAATATAAAATGGATTTCTAGTTATTGATTTTATAAATGATGTAAACATGGCAGGGGTCATTGAATTTAATGTGAGTAATAGATCTAGTCCATTAATGGATTTATAATTCCAGGAATTATAAATGGACATGTTATGAAAAATGAAATAAATCTTCCATTTCATTCAAATTACACAATCAGCATAAATAAACTTTCTATTTTGAATGTTGTGGTTAGTTTTTTATGACTCAGCTCAGTAAATTTTATGTTTGCAGTTCTTACTTGCGTTATACATTTTATAAATCTGAATGGGACTGGATATATAAAGACGGCCTGAGTTCCTAAATCTGGATCAAATGTTAAATTGTAGTTTGGGCAGTAGGTAGAGGATTCCATGTTTTGGATATATTTTCTTCGAAAGTAGTACACGGTGGGCCAGACCCCCTTACCGTGCACCCCCCCACATCCCTATAAATTGCATATCGTTGTGTTCCTTGTAACTATTTATTAAAAAAAAGCCAATGTTCCCACAAAAAAAAGTGAACCCACTGCCCCAAAATGGCGTCCAAAGATGGCGGATTGACGACTTTGACTTTAGTTAGTTTTTTGGTCACTGAGATTTTTGATCGCATTTGGCTTAATTTCCTCATAGTTGGTCTTTTATTAAAGCTGAATAGTTATAGAATAATAAAACATGAAGAAATATTAAAAAATAATTGGCTTAGACTATGTAAAACACCAGTAAAGTCAATTGTTTTAATAAAAATATTTTCGAGTTACAAATCAAGCGTCGTTTGTAATTAAACGGCCTACAATAACGCAAAACGTGCCGAAATAAACCATCTGGAGAATATATTTCTCTTTCTAAAACGCTGATTATTTTTTACAAATGTTTAAGCAGTTCCGTAGAAAATGCACTTATGCGGCAGAAAAGCGGTACTGGCGTGGGTGCCTACAGGCCTCTACCACACCATTCAGTGCCCATAAATGGCTTAGTTATAGTGATATAATAACATTTTTGGTACATTATATTGGTTTAATTAACGAACAAATATTAATGCAATAATTTAAATGTAAAAAAAAAATTAAAATTAAAAAAAAAATTATTATTATTTTTTTTTAATTTAACCTCCTTTATTCTGTACGTTGGTCGTTTAAGAAGACCTCAATTGTAAAAATGATATAATTAATAATAATAAAAGTTAATTAAAAAATACTTTGCTAAATATCTTGATTTTTTTTTTATTTAACGTTTGCAATTGAACACTGTGTTTTGTATATTTACTGATTCTTAGAAGTAATTAAAATGTTTATATACTTCCCAGGAAATGAGTCATATTAATACCTTTTTTATAAACTAAAATAATATATACCTAATCTGAACTATATATAATGAATAGCTACCGGGTTGTTTAGTAAAACTCATATATCACTAATTAAAAAATTAATTTTTATTTCCTTTATTTTGTGCAGAAGTTGGGCTATATCATAAATAAATAGGAAATTTTAATATTGAATGAATTATTCTCTATGCACAAAGAAAGATAGAAGGGGTGATGCTATAAGTTCTTCTATAAACCAAAACTGATTGTTTGGATTTGATCTCAAAATGAGGAAAAACGCGATAATACATTAAGGGAACGAGAAAGGAAGTACCAAAAGCTCGGAATAGATAAAAAGGACCAGTATCCATTATATAGCTAAATGAATGTTTAGTAAAGAGATGAACAGAATATTTCAAGATATCGAGAAAGTTATAGCTCATAGCTTTCCTTCTGTTTAGTGCATTTGCAAAAGATTTTTTAAGGAATCTAAAAGGAAAACGAGCTTTTCTTACGAGACAGTTAGATATTAGCATAATCCAAAGTGTGAGGCACTAAGCAGATAGAGAGCTATTTTTCTTTTTATGTGGACTTCTCTATAACCTGCTTTAAAGTGAAGACCCAATTTTCAACTTCTCTTCCAATGTGCAACTTAGGTTTCTCAATCCATATCACTCTGGCAATCGACAATATTTCTAATTCCAGCTTCTACGATTCTTGAGTATAATTTGTTTGGTACACTAAACAGGAATGGATCTTGATGGGTATTACATTTCCTAGTACCTCCTTTCTTGTAAAGGTAAAAACCACAGTCCTTTTATGTTATTTTCTAATATGCTTGTTGCCTATGTACGCGCAAAACTATCAAAGCAGTTCGGTTTCGCCCTTTCCATCTTTCTTTGTGCAGAGAGTATTCAATATTAAAATTTCGTATTTTTTTATGATATGGTACAAATTCCGAACAATTTATTCCGCAATTTCTGAACAATAACGAGCTATAACTAATATAAGATTCCTTAAAAAATCAGAAGGAAAGCTATGAGCTATAACTTTCTCGATATACCTCTCTATATCCTGCTTCAAAGTAAATATAGTCCAGATGTGCACCTTCAGCAATCGAAAATAAATTGGTTTTCACCATAATAAACCTACATCGTCCACTTAATATCATCCAAACTGCAATTGATCCCGTTTTAGCAGCATCTTGAAATATTCTGTTCATCTCTCTACTATACATTCATTTAGCTATATAATGGATACTGGTCCTTTTTATCTATTCCGAGGTTTTAGTACTTCCTTTCTCTTTAGCTTAATGTATTATACGCGTTTTTCCTCATTTTGAGATCAAATCCAAACAATCAGTTTTGGTTTATAGAAGAACTTATAGCATCACCCCTTCTATCTTTCTTTGTGCATAAAGAATAATTCATTCAATATTAAAATTTCCTATTTATTTATGATATAGCCCAACTTCTGCACAAAATAAAGGAAATAAAAATTAATTTTTTAATTAGTGATATATGAGTTTTACTAAACAACCCGGTAGCTATTCATTATATATAGTTCAGATTAGGTATATATTATTTTAGTTTATAAAAAAGGTATTAATATGACTCATTTCCTGGGAAGTATATAAACATTTTAATTACTTCTAAGAATCAGTAAATATACAAAACACAGTGTTCAATTGCAAACGTTAAATAAAAAAAAAAAAAATCAAGATATTTAGCAAAGTATTTTTTAATTAACTTTTATTATTATTATTATATCATTTTTACAATTGAGGTCTTCTTAAACGACCAACGTACAGAATAAAGGAGGTTAAATTAAAAAAAATAATAATAATTTTTTTATTTAATTTTAATTTTTTTTTTTTTTTACGTTTAAATTATTGCATTAATATTTGTTCGTTAATTAAACCAATATAATGTACCAAAAATGTTATTATATCACTATAACTAAGCCATTTATGGGCACTGAATGGTGTGGTAGTGGCCTGTAGGCACCCACGCCAGTACCGCTTTTCTGCCGCATAAGTGCATTTTCTACGGAACTGCTTAAACATTTGTAAAAAATAATCAGCGTTTTAGAAAGAGAAATATATTCTCCAGATGGTTTATTTCAGCACGTTTTGCGTTATTGTAGGCCGTTTAATTACAAACGACGCTTGATTTGTAACTTGAAAATTTTTTTATTAAAAAAATTGACTTTACTGGTGTTTTTCATAGCCTAAGCCAATTATTTTTTAATATTTCTTCATGTTTTATTATTCTATAACTATTCAGCTTTAATAAAAGACCAACTATGAGGAAATTAAGCCAAATGCTGATTCTCAGTGACCAAAAAACTAACTAAAGTCAAAGTCGTCAATCCGCCATCTTTGGACGCCATTTTGGGGCAGTGCGTTCACTTTTTTTTGTGGGAACATTGGCTTTTTTTTAATAAATAGTTACAAGGAACACAACGATATGCAATTTATAGGGATGTGGGGGGGGGGTGCACGGTAAGGGGGTCTGGCCCACAGACTATAGGAGTTGTGTAGGAACTTGTGTAAATGGCCGTGTCGTCTGCATACAAGGATCTTTCAACTGATGGGAGTGAAGGGAGGTGGATTTGTACAGATTAAAGAGTATAGGAGAAAAACAGGATCTTTGGGGAAGACCAGCTGATGGGAAATGTTTAAGTGATTTAGAGTTCTTTATTATGGTATGAAAGGATCTGTTTGAAAGATATGATTGGATAGTATGTATGATGTACAGTGGGAATTGATAGGTTATAAATTTATATAATAATCCATTGTGCCATATTGTCTCGAATCTTTTTCGATATCCAGTCAGATCCTCCCAGTATGTTTTCATCCTGCTGTGATTTAATCAGTTAATCTGGCTACTGTTTATAAATTTTACTTTGAATTCCTTTAGTTCGAAAATACCTATTTAGAAAAAATTGAAAAGTTGTGTGAAAAGTCTAAAGGAAAAGTTGTGTGATGCGCACGCTGCATCAGATGTTTTAGTTATCGCTTCTTATGCGTTAAACAACACAAACCTTAAATTTTTTGTAGTTCATGAAGTCTACAATCACTCCTTTAAATATTTATCTTTATTTATGGGACACACTGTATAATAAAGTTTGTGCCATTTTGTTGCTGTTGATACATATCAATAACTTTTTAAATCCATAAATATCATTAAAATTCACAAATACTGAATTTAACTAAGTTTAAATTCATCAAACAATGTACTCATAATAGGGTATTTTTACAATCAAACTAATATGATATGATATTAAAATCACTACCCTCAACCCCTCAACTTACCGCGGAGCGCACTAGAGGTGGGAGGCGCGGAGGTGGGGCACCAGGTGTTGGAGGTGGTGGGGCGAAAACTGGAGCCAGAAGGGGCTAGGCAGTGACGGGAGCCAGCCACCGAGTGAGAGTGCTATGACCCTTAGACGGATTAAATGACCCGAGAGAGGATGAAGCCAAAGTACGATCTCGAGGATTACATCTACGATGTCGAGTCGCGGTCGTTGGAACCTTCCGCCGACCCGGAAGATGTCTACGCACAGCTACAACAGAAGGAAAAGGACTTGATCCTCGCCGCTGAACTGGGGAAGGCCTTACTTGAGAAGAATGAGGAACTGAGCAGACAGAATGAGCGGCTTGCCGAGGACTATTCGCAGAAATTAGAGGTAAGCTCTTCTTTATTTTGTCTTTGCACCTGATTGTAAACATGATAACTTATCAATAGGAAACTTGAATTCTGATAAGGAAGGTTAAGCCTGCTGTCATGCACCTTTCCCGTTGTTTGATCTAAGCAGGATTGTTCCGTTTACCGGTAGCTAACTGCATCAAGAAATAAAAAAATATTTTGACTGTCATAAATTTAGGCCAATTAAAATGAAAAGAAAATTTAAGTAAAATTGAATTTAATGGCCTTTTATTTCGATTTTAGACTCGACAATTCAATGTTTAACTTTTGAAAACTATCGCAATTTAGTTTTTAGAAACATTAAACAAGGTGGTATATAGAATGCCGTAGACAAAAAATAAAAAATCACTATTTTCCACAAAATGTTTTAAATGACAGTTTATAGAGTAAATAGGAATAAAATGTGGCATTTAACGCGTTCTTCCAATCAGCTTTTCTATTGAGCTGGGTTCGGTAAATTTAGTGACACCACAGCAAATTTTAGTACCAGAGGTTCCCAAGTTGCGCCATCAATATTTTTTTTTTGTTGGGGAGGAGATAGATTTTAATACTTTATTTTTTATTTTTGAGAGAAACACATTTCCATGGAGTTTGGAATTTTCGGAATGAAACGTTGAAAATCGACAAGGAATACCATGGAACAGACCGCAGCAAGTGTAACCGTATATGATTGACGTTTTTTTCTAATTCTACTTTTGCTTGGACTATTTTCAAGAAGAGGTGAGCAATAAAATATCTTGGTAGCGGGGAAAAGAGAGTAGTTCTTGCGCCATCGACCTTGGGAGAAGGGGGGAGAGGACACCCCTGCTGAGCAGAATTATAGGAAATTACCCTCTGCAAAATATCAAGAATTTTCTTATTTATTTTTCATCTTTGTATGAAATTTCTAAGTTATTCCACTATTTTGAAAATTTGGTTTATATTCACATGATTTGCTTTGTGTATTTACTCTAATATTATGACATATAATATATGTACGTTTTGATCGACAACCATGTCAAAATAAGTTGTGTAAAATTTAAGTTAACATTGGTTTAAGTCGATCTAAAAAGGATTTTAAACCGGGCTTGAAATTGAAAAAAACAAACTCTTTAATTGTAGTGGTAACGTTTCGGTACCATGGCACGTTAATTGTAGATAGTTTTTCAATCCTTTTAGAATTACAACTTTTTCCCTTGCGACTTTTCCAGTAAAGGGTGTACAAAACTTTTACTTTCAAAAAAATGTATTTAAAAGTTCTGTCGATATCACTAAAAAGTCGATCTAAAAAATATTTTTATTCTTACTACTCAAACAATAGATACATAAGAATCATGTCTAATTAATTTAAGATAAATTATAACTCTCGCCTAAGCCCAATTACAGTTGATTTTTCATTTAACGGAACTTAAAAGTTGAACTTTTACCGTAAATCCTGAACTTTAATAAAAAAAAAAAGTTAGAACTATTTTCCTTAAAAGTTTCAAAGGAACCGTTAAAAAGTTCCATAAAAGTTTCAATCTCTGTTGTAAACAATAGTTTACTATATAATAAAATGTGTAAACAAATTTAGTTTTTATTATAATTTTTTCTCAAATATAGCTATATATATAAAAAGACTGGTGCACTATTTTTCCCAGAAATTTTTCACTAATAGATAATTCTCAATACAATTATTTATTTATTAGGATAAAGTTTTCTAATCTATAATTTCAATTTTCATTATTGCTTTTAATTATTCCTGTTTAAATTTTAAAAATTAAATATCTTTTTATATAGGTATACATTTATATACAAGGTATACTATTTTTTTTTTTTAATATTTACTTATTTGAACCAGAATAATTAAAAGTATAAATTAAAATTGAAAACATAAATTAAAAATTAAAACAAACTTATTGTAAATAATAAAAACAAATAATAGATAATAATTATTATTACTTATATTTTTGAAAATAGGAAGAATTTAGTTTGCAGGTAATTGCTTGGAAGTTGTCTTCTTATATCATTATATGATAATGTAAACATTTCATCATATTGAGTAACTTATTTCTTATAAATAAATTATTCAACTACTCTTTCATTTATTGGTATCATTCCAGTTGTTCCATGGTACTCAAATGGCTAAAATAATTCTCCAGGTTCTTTACCATTCGATATTCCATATGATCTATTTTTGTCATTATAAATTGATGATAAATGGATTAAGGTTTTTATTAAAATTAAAGTTATACTATATTGTAAAAGAAAGTTTTTATTTTTTAAACATAATATAGAAATAAAGAATTCATCTTTATTCTGGGACAAAGTAAAATAATAACAATATTCAACCTTATTTAATTTGGACTGTTCTAGTCCTCGGAAAGTTTGATTCTTTCATTTTCTGAAGAATGGGGAACACGACACCGAACTGTTTTTAGTCTGCATTGGCCATCGATATTGTTAAATTCGTTAATAAAGCTTTCTTATTTACAAATTAATTAGATATATGCGAATATTTTATAATTTTGTTTAAACACATATTTTTGAGCTTTATCTTACCTTTTTCGTTGACAAGAATCTCTGGAGTATTCGCGATTACGTTGGAATTGCATTTCAGAATTCATTGGAGCTGATCAGTTTCATTTATTTTCTTCAATTGTTTATGATTTAAAATTTTATAAAATATAGTCGGAGAGACATCGAGTATTTAAATCTCATTTCAAGTTAATAATGTTGTTACTTCATATTGTTTAAGTGCTTTTAACAATTCTTCAATGGTATTGATTGTACTTTTAATGGAAACGAACAAGAAAGATTAGAAAACAAGAAGCATTTACACTGGCGAGGCATTTACCTTCTTCAAATCTGGTTTCGTAAAATTGGATTTGGTTTATGGTTAATTGGTATTTTTTTTTTTTGCACATACATATTGTTCAATGCAAAATAAAACACCAATAATACTCCTGTTATATTGATCAGAGATGCTCGCTTAAGTAATAGCGAGTGTAATAATACAATCATTGATTGTTTGGAATGGCTTAGTGGCTATTCTGATGAACTAGTAGTAGGGTTGCTTCATCTCGATTGAAAACCATTTTGTCTGTGTATGTAGAATCAAAAGTTGGCAATCAAAAAAGGCTGTCAGGAATATTTTTATTTAAATAATCGATGAATACTCAAAATCAATATATCTGTACACCAAATATATCATAGTACTCTGTGATTTCACAGAGTACTATGATATATTTGATATATGATATGATATAATATGATATATTAATTAAAATCATCTTCATGATTATAATTAAACTTTTCAATATTTTTTACGAAATTAAACGCAACAAGATGCAAAATCTAAATCAGGTGTTGTATTATGGTGGATCACTTTTGTAATATGTATCACATTTATGATAATGAAAGCAAAATAGGTGACAATTAAACATTTGAATATAAAATTTTGATAATTTTCTTCTATATCGAATGCGTTGCAAAAGCTTCATATTTTTTAAAGAAAAGTCTAAATAATTTGATGTCGTTGAATTTATTATACTAAGTTCACAGTTTAGTTTGGATATAGTTAGTTCTTCTTAACAAAAAAAAAAAAACTGGTGACTGAATAAATATCCAGACTGGCTATTTGAACACAGCATCTGATATCTAACCTACCACCACTATAGATTTCATTATTAAACTTTAAGTTACAATGTTATTTTAACTTTTAGGACACACTTCATGTGTGTCCTAAAAGTTAATTTCATTAACTTTTAGGACACACTTCAATGTTATTTTAACTTTTAGGACACACTTCATGTGTGTCCTAAAAGTTAATTTCATGGGCTTATGAGGGAATTCGATTTTTCTCAATTACGTCTATATGACAGATGTAAGTTCGTCTAACTTTATTGAACATTGAGTTATTTGCGTAAGGTGCACCGATGGCATGGGTCCAGAATAGGTGCATTTATAGTATTTTCTGTTTATGCATAGTAATGATAAAAACGTGGACATTCGGATTTCATAAATTTTTACCCATTTACATTCATATATACGTTGTAGATTTATATATTTCTTCATGTGCTTTTGTGTATTATTCATTACGGTACCTACTAACGGATCCGTTAGTTCCACAGCAACAGTAGGTACCTCACTAACACAAGTGGAACAACAGTAGCGGTCTCGACTCGAACCCGATCCGGTTATGCAATCTTGCTCTTTGTCATTTTCTTTCATTTGTTTCTTCAAGAGGAAACAGAGACGATTCCAGGACTTGCGAGGCTTGCGACGTTTGATAGGCGATTGATTAGTGTTTTGATTGGACATGACAGACATTCAATTATTATTTCGCTTTAGATAATATCACTAATTATAATAATATTATTTACTAATTTCATTTAGCCTTAATGATATTACTGCATCAACTTTCCATTCAGAGAGAAAATGGTAATTGGAAAACATACATAAATCATATTCGTGACATTATATGTAAAAAACGTTTGTTTTTCGTTTTGTATAGCAAACGAATATTGGTAACAATCAAGATTGTATTAAACTAAACATTGTGAGTTATTCTAAAAATGTTTTATAAAATAGCATGCCCTAGGTCTGTCAGAAAATATTAAAAGGATACTCTCTTAAGTATGACCATCCTATATGAAATGAAATGTAATAACAGCTTAAAGCTTAATAAATATATTAATAACACATTTAATTAATAAATATAGCATATAAAAGCTATAAACAAAATGTCATTTACAAGGTACCGTTTATAAGGACTGTACCGACTGTGAGAAAGTTTACATATGAAGTACATTAAAATTCAAAAGTACAAAACAAGAATTAAAAAACATTATATAGTTTAAAAAAAACATGACATTAGATTATAGGATATATTTAATATGAGAAATGATGCATAGGGAAATAAAAAACTACTAGACGTTATAAACATAAATAATATATAAGCATAGGTGCCCAGAAGGGGGTTTCATGGCGCAACTTGCGTAATCAAAATTTTTGAGGGGAGCACATTTCGACGGGGCAAGGAATTTTCGGAATGAAAGGTTTCAAAACAGAGAACTAGGAGGAAAACATTACAGACCACAGTAAGTGTAATTGTATATAATCTACGATTTGTCTAATCCTACTTTTGCCTGCACTGTTTTTAAGAAGAGAAGATAAATAAAATTTTTGGAGCGGGAGCAATGATTCGTTCGCCCTGGGGGGGGGGGGAGGATAGGAACTCTAAACTTAACGCTATGACTTAAGTTAGTTAACGCTAAAACTTAAAACTATGACTAGAATTTAGAAAGCCACTCCACATACATTATAAATAAAATAAAATATTTTAACTACAAAAATAGATGATAATATATTATTGTATATAAAATAATAAGCGCTTAACTAGATTAGAAATATTAATGAAAAATATGTTGTTGCGAACAATTAGATTTCATAGTAAATAGGAGGTTATGAAATTATGAACGAAAATGTCTAATACAGGAAACAGTTCAGAAATATAATATATACTATTACTGAAAACCTTACAATTTTTAAAAATAATAAAGTTCTACAATAGAATATAAATAAGAAGTGTTGCCAATGAACCTGCAGGGTAGAGGCAATAATAAAAACAAATAAATAAATAAATATTAGGTAAAGGACAAATTTGGATTTTAAGAATATGGCAACTTCGATTTCACTTCATTAATTGCATGCAATAATGTCTTAATGTACTTTCCTATTACCTGTTTGATTTATATACGAGAAAATAATATTAGATAAATATATGAATGATGCCGAATGAGGCGATCCCGAAGACTGATCCCGGTGCTAACCGTTCTAAGATCACCTGGCCTTTCGAAATAATCTGTAACGAATCTGTAATCGCCACCATTTGCGATTTTTTCTCTATGTTTGTCCAGTCCTGCAATCGCTAATATAATTTTTTGTCTAGTCGTTAAGGAAATTAAATGTATTTTCTCCATGAAGGTAAATGATCCGACGATTTCACCTGAATTAAAGAAAATTCCTCACTTGATGCACGTAAAATATTCGAGGAGGGTTTCGCGGTGGTTATTTCGCTTTCTTGGATGTTAATTTTTCGAAACGGAACTTGGCCTCATTTTTAATGAATTTTTCCAATTACATAACATTTGATTTCCAAGTGGGTGTAATAAGAATACTGACTATTGAGCGAGAATACAGACCATGTTAGCTGTGTGCATGTAGGTTAAAAAAACAGTACATCCTTAAATTAATGCAAAGTTCAGATTTTTCTCTTTCACGGTGTTAATTTTATTTGTCTTATTGTTTCGTAAGGAAAAAACAAAACAAGAAAAAAAAGCAATGGACTCAAATAGATTTATAATAGAATGCCATTATTCTTCGATTTACAAACTAAATAGGCAGCATCAAATATTATTTTGAACACTTATCTCTAGATGTAATTGATTAATCGACCGAATATTATAAATCCAATTATAAAATTGCACATCTCGATAAAACATATAAAGTTGCTTTGTGAGGATGAACTGAATTTTCAAGAAACCTTAGAGCGAAATTTCTGTATTCCAGAAAAAATATAGTTTTCAATACAAGTAAATATAATACAAGTTTTCAATGGTCGAATTCGTGCCAAACACTCATGACCGATAGTAGAAATATCACTAGGTTTAATCTGAGAAAGAATTGGATGAGAAGTATCAAAACTAAATGTCAGGAGAATGTACAAAAGCTCCGTTAGCCTTATAATGCAATAATGTTTTATTCCCGCCCACTAGCGGGTTCAGGATTTATTTATTTTTGGGGGGGGATTTCAGCCCGAAAGATTTTTTTACATATATATAACGATAATTAATTTGAAAAAAAAGAGAAAGAAATGAACTACCTATATGAAATGGTCTTTCAGTGATTTTTGAAGTGCTATTAAATGTAATTACACGAACAATAATACTTTAAGAGATAGTTTTTAATATTTTTTTTCTCTAAAACATGGTTATATTTTACCGTTTTGAGGGGCTTCGGCCCGAAAGCCCCTCCCTCCTCCTGTAAATCCGTCTGTGTTCCCGCCCCCCTGTACCAAATTTTCTGATGCATTGATGGATTAATTTTTTTTATTGGTTCGTATTTAATTATATGAGTTATCTGAACAAAACTCATAATCAATTCTCTTTTTGAATTATAGCGCATGTACTTCAGCTATCAACTATAACCAGATTTAAAATAAAAATACAAACATTTCATCCATAAAAATATTGTTATTGTAATTACGGTTAATAAAAAAATTTTAATTTCTGGTTTTTAGTTTAGTATTTCTTTATTGATTTGTATTATGCTCTGTCACAATAAAGGACAGTACAAAAGTTGATTCACATAATAATATTAAAAAAAATAGCTCTCCTCCCTTCCAAGACTATGTGCTGAATCCACTACTTTGTACATGTACATATGAATACGTAAATTATAAAAATGTTAACTTTATTATAATTACACCAGAAAACCAAAAATAGGATTTGAAAAATAAAAAAACTTCTATTTGTCACTTTATAAAAGAATAGAAATAATTAAATGGTTATCTATACTAATATATATGAAGAGTTTGTTTGAAGGCGCTAATTTTAGGAATTAATCGTCTGAT